CATTAGATACGTGTCGCCACCACGAGAACTTGCACAAAGTCCCACATCGAAACTTTGTGCAAACTCTCACTTTCACTTTTCCATAAAAGGGGAATAGTGCCCAAGTAAAATGACGTAATAACTTTTCACCTTTACTATTACTTGGCAAAAGTACTACATGTCCCACACTTGCTGACTTAAGTATCGGAGAGCCTTTGGCAGGTACCACACTGGTACCCAAAGCTTGACGATTGCTTATTCCCTATTTCTCCTGCAGGATCTCTCCTTGCCAAAGGTCTGCGACCCTCTTGTCTTGCTGAAGACTCCACACTTCTTCCACCTAAGTTGACACACGATTTTAGGCATCAACAAATGTTTAAATGATCTTGTCAACTAAAAAACATGTGTAAATAAACATGGATTGTTAATTGAAAGAAAGCACAATTGATGTCAAAATAATCCACAGTTGCCCATTGGAGAAATGAAAAGAAAGAGAGCCTTTAACCATATGTTGAAGGTGTGGAGGTCAACAGCCTTTTTGTAAATATTGTAAAGTCTCATTTTCCTCTTATACATTTCTCATCGTATATATTTAACAATAAACCCTATAATTAACGAATGCCTTTCTATTTTGTTTAAGATTTCAATAAATTGAACTATTTTGGCATCTATTGAATTGAATTGCAGTTTTACTTGCAATGGTGTAGTTCAATAGCTTTAGATAAATAGTAATATTGTTTTCCTAAAGTTAGGAGCTATTAATTTAATTTATTGAAAACCCTAAACACTCCATGAGAAAACCGTAAGGAAAAAATCTTAGCCGCCACCCTCTTTGGGGGTTGGCTGCCTCCTTCCCTACCTCCTCCCTTCTCCTTTCATCCCTTCTTTTCTCTTTCCCTCCCTTTTACCTCAAGATGTTTAGTTTATTTTGTGATGTGGAAGGAGTCCCTGTGAAACAATGTCGTCGCCATGATATAGTCACCGTATTTTGGCCCTCGTACACAAGGAGTTGGCTCATTTCGACATAGTTTGGAGCTCTAAATAGGGGAAGATGGCTGGTTGGGTTCGGATTTAGCCAGTGCAGGACTATGGATTTAGCCGGTATGGTGCTATGAATTTCTTCAGGTTGCTCAGAAGATGTGGAGCAGTGGCCATGTTGCTTAGCTTTATTTTAGACTAATAATTTTCAAAAAGCTTTGATTTGTTTTTTATTTGGGATTTTTATTTCTTTTTGGCTTTTGACTTTCAATACGGATTTGCCGTTTCTGCCATTGTGTGTCGGATTTGTATTGTATGTCTAAGTACATGTGCTTCTAGTTGCTGGTTTGCCGTTTCTGCCATTGTGTGTCGGATTTGTATTGTATGTCTAAGTACATGTGCTTCTAGTTGCTGGATCGGGGATTTAGTCATTGTTTGGGCTGTGCGTGATTCTCTCCAGATCAATTCAACGGGTTGTTGTGTTTGGTCACTGGAGAAGATTTACACATATTCGGCACATAGTTGCTTTGTACTTTTTTTATGCATCAATAATATACTATCGCTAATTTTCAAAATAGATAAATAGTTATAACTTCTTACATATTTTTTTACATACTCAAATAATATAAAATGGATCAATTTAATAATACTAAAAGTTGTACCATTGAAATATTCTTAAAGAGATCTTTAAAAAAGAGACTAATTTTGAATTTATTTGAATAATAATAATAATAATTTCATGCCAAACTTATATATTTGAATTTTTCTTTTTCAAAAATATAGGCAAAGAAGGGTTCAAGTAATCACTCTTCACATATATTAATTGTTGTATTAACGGTATAATGTATTAATTGTTGTATTTTTTTTCTATTTTTTATTGGCATGTGGGTCCTATAGTTAGCCTATTGCAATTCAATAGAGGGTTCATCATTTAGTACCCTATATTGCAATTGCATGTATTGCCATGAACTAAAATTGCATTAATCTTAACTATTGCATATGCTCTAAGAGTTGTGTGTGAAGGTTATGGAAAATAAAATGGAAAATCAAGAAAAGTTCCTCATGCGTACTCACTTTTCTTTTTTCTTTCTTAATAAACCCTTTTAAAAAATAAAAATAAATAAACATAGTCACTTTTCTTACCGTAACGCTAGGGAAATCAAATTTGTGCACCAAATTTGAGTCCCAAATGATGTGGCTCATGCCATATCATCACTTTAACTTAATAAAATTGCCAACATGTATTATTCTAAAAAGAAAAATTAAAAACCATGTAAGTTTATTAATCCAAAGTCTCAAACTTAATCACCACCATATTCCACCACAACCAGTCCTACCGCCTCTACACCTTTACCATTAACTCGGCCTACCCCAAGTCAACCTTCATTGATTTGTTCAAGCAACAAAAGTGTTGTAAACAAAAAAAAATTCCCATCCATTCGCTCCCCATTTGATTTTGGTAAACGATAAAATCTTCTAAATATTTTCTTTATATAAAATTTTGACCAATAGAAACATATTCCTAGTGCACTATGTATAGTTTTAAATAAATAAAAAATGAACAATTCTGGTTCACCACCAAATCACAAATTTTTTCAAACTTGTCAAATCTAAAAGCTTTTATGTTCTTCTTGTAAGGTATACTCCATTAGAATTGATAGCCCAAAGATCTGTCATATACAATTCAACCTCTTAAATTGTCTGGGATGATGGGGTGTTGTAGGTTGTACGCGGTGTAACAAGAACATATACTAAAAAAATTGTGGTTGGGGGATATGGTGGTGACCAGTTTTGGGATTTCAGTTAACATTTATGCTTCTTTTTTTTAAAAGAAATTAATTGCCGTAATTAATACATGTTGGCAATTAATTGATGATGTGTCATTTGTCACATCAATTGGGGCTCAAATATAGTGCACAAATTTGGTATTCCTAGCATTATTCTAAGAAGGTAACTATTACAACTTGCAAGTGGGGTTGTGCCAAAGCTATATACTTTTTATATAATATTTGATAGAGATAATTATTAATTATCGGATAATTTTTCTATCTTTTTCTTTTCAATAAGGACAATGTTCTAGGTCGCTCTCTCGTTCAAGCGAGGAGAGCCTTAACGGCTAGGGTTAAGGTTTCTCAAGTTTTCTTTACTCATTCTCTGCACCATCTCCCTCAGTCTTCTATGATTGTCTCTTTGGGTTGTTCTTCGTGGGGTGGCTGCGTTGGCTTCCTTTCTGGGATCCCAAGGAGCTAGTCGCTGGTGAGAGGTCTCCATCTTAAAGCTATGGCGATGGCCACCACCTCTTATGCTTAAGGGGATGACAAGTATACGACACCAAGGAGGAATCAGAAGCGTGTGAAAACTGGTGTTGGGCATCTGATTGTTAGTGGCATGGATTTTTCTGGTAAGCATAGTTTTTGTATCGAGGATTTTGTTGACAAGGCGGAGGAGACCAGCCTCGAGGGGTCTCCAAGATCTCCCTAATAATTCTCCTATGGAACGTTTGTGGGCTTGGCAACTGATGAACGTTCCTACTATGAAGATCTTTCTTCAAATTTTCTTCAGGCTAAGAGGCCAATCTTGGTCTCCCTTGCTTGTCAGCTGGGGTTCTGGATCAAGAAAATTGGAGGTGGTGGTTGGTGTTTGGCTAGATCTGTTATGATGCTCACAATACGTTTTTGACTCTGTACGAAGAACTATGACGCTTTCTTTAGATCATAGGAGGCTTTCTTTGACAGTATCTGCGTAGTGATGGGATGTGTTTAAATGGTTTTGCAGTTGGGTGATTGGTTGGATCTATTCTGATACCCATAGTACGTTTTTGACTATGTACAAAGAACTATGATGTTTTTTCTAGATCATAGGAGGACTTCTTTAACAGTACCTACGTAGTGATGAGATGTTGTTTTAAGGGTTTTGTGGTTGGGTTTTAGGTTGGTTTGTTTCATATAAGTTGTTTGACTTTTCTGTTTAGTCAATAGCATGAGTGGTACTCTTTCCAACCCTGGGATTTTGTTTCTCTGTGAAGGTTTTAACGAGGCCACCGTTAACATGCTAGTTGTTACCATGTAAGGTTCCTTTCAGTTTAATGAAATACCATTTTTTCTCAACAAAAAAGAGGACGATGTTCTAAATTATTTTAATGTAGAGGGAGGAGGTTCGAACTCAAATGCAAGATGGGCACACTATCTTAGCCAATTGGCCTAACCCACATTTACGAACAATTGTTTTAATTTTTTTTCTCTTATCAAATGGCATGGTATTATTTACGGAAATACTCCATTAAATATTTTATATTGAGGATTAGTCAATAAATTCTAATCTCATTTATTGGATCGCATGAATGAAAAACAGGTAATCCACTAACATAACTCATGGATGGCTAATGTATGTAAATGTGAAATACCTAAAGGCCATCAAATTCAATCTTGGGCCTAACTATAAAACAACTTGGATAAGGGTAAACAATAAGTATAGCTATAAAACAACTTGAATAACATACATAAATATAAGGTTTTCAAAATGCTGAGAAGGGACCAACATGAGTTGGTCCAAGTGGAAATACTCCATTAAATATTTTATATTGAGGATTAGTCAATAAATTCTAATCTCATTTATTGGATCGCATGAATGAAAAACAAGTAATCCACTAACATAACTCATGGATGGCTAACGTATGTAAATGTGAAATACCTAAAGGCCATCAAATTCAATCTTGGGCCTAGCTATAAAACAACTTGGATAAGGGTAAACAATAAGTATAGCTATAAAACAACTTGGATAACATACATAAATATAAGGTTTTCAAAATACTGAGAAGGGACCAACATGAGTTGGTCCAAGTGGAAGGGGCTTGGATCCTTTAAACAAGAGGTCCTGGGTTCAATCCCAAGTACTTGCGAATAGAGGGATTTAGTCTCCGCAGTCGCGCGGGGATACCTTGGGAAACCAAAAATGCTGAGAAGGGTCAAATGACCCTTGTGGGCCTTGAGCATGGTATTTCTACATTTTTAAGCATGGTATTTCAACTTGTTTGCAGCATCATCTCCTCCTAATCATTACTCTTCCTCTCTTTTTGCCTTTTACTTTCCTCCCGCCATGCCTGTTGAAATGTGGAACATATCTGAGAGCTGTTGAGGGGTGCGTGTTTTGTGCTCAAATGCTCTCACGCCAATAAAACTTGAAAGCTAAGAAGAATCATTAATTGAGTAAGATTGTTAAATTTCATATGATATCATGGATGGCCATAAGCTTGCAGTCTTAGTTTTCCTTCTTTACAAACTTTCTTGATAATGTGTGCTTTTATTTTGAAAAGCACATAAGTTAATTTTGATGCAAACTCACAAAGTATAATCACAAGTTTGCAACTTCAGTGAATCTATAAGACAAAATTATGTATGTTCTTCTATAATAGACTTTATTTAGTGCTTTGTGTTTCATCCAAGGTGCACAATTTTAATTTTGTAATGTGATAGTTATTCTGTCACTAATGTTATCGCACCAGATTTTAGGACACGAGAGATGAAGACGCAGGGCTTGAAACAAAGAGCGTATCCAAGAAATGGCTGCGGCATAGCCACCTGTTGAAACTCTTTCATCAGCAAAATTCTCCATTGAAAGCTTCAACCTTGACCCCTTGAAAGGTTGATGGGCAACCCCAAAGTGCCTACTAAGTATTCGCTGAAATGCCCCAAAGAGTCTGCGCGGGAGGGAAGAGAATATAAGTTTGATGAATGGGGTCGTCGTCTACCTCCAAGGTTGGGATTGGCATACCCATCTCCAGTTACTAAAGAATTGAACTAGAACAAGGCGAAAAACAAAAAGCAAAATTACAAAGACAGGGAGGGGATGGGTGAGGCGAGAGAGATGAGAAAGGACGAGTCTGGTTTCTTTGTTTTTTTTCTTTTCTGTCTGAGGTGCTCTGATTTTGTTGAAGCTTTAGCTGTGCCTTTTATTTTACTTTTGTTTTGTTTCTTGCAATTATATTTGTTTTTTACTTTAAATATGTATAGGTTTCTTTTTGGTTAAAAATCTGCCTAAGGCATTTGTTGTGCATGTATTTTTTAATTTTTGGTCAGAAGCAGCTTTTGTGCTTATTTTTTGGTCAGAAGCAGCGTTGGGAAATATGCTTTATTAGGAACTGCAGCAGTTATGTGGAAATAGAACTGCAAGTCCATACTACTTACTACAGTTGTGGACTGTTTTATCACAGATCTCTTCAGATCTCTATCCTTCCAAAATCACCCTGCATCTCCACACCTATCTACTTCCGTTCACAAGCTTCACAGATCAAATATCAAATATCATTAACTTCTGAGACCACATAAAAGTGACCTTACCTACTGAATTTCAAATTTGACAACCAAATAAATATCTTTCAGATTTTCAATAAGCAATATTCATGGCAAATTATTATCTGGTTGTCCTGGTATATACCTTATTGAGACCAACTACTATAAGAGGTTGAGGAGATGCAGTCCGCGTTTCAACAAATTCGCAAGTGATTATGCACAAGAAAGCAGCAAACAAATAAAACCTATGCATGTTGAGAGAACAATTTGGTACAACAAAGTGTCATCTCATGCGTAATCTATAATTGCTTTAATAGTCCAAATGAATTCCTTAACCAGTAATAGAAAATTTCACATTTTAATAAGAGAGGAGAAAACCATAAGCCAGAAGAAAAATATCAACCACTTTCAGCACATGTCAAATGTGCTAAAGAATTAATATTGAAAAAGTATGATATAATGAGAGGAGAGGGAATCAACAAAAGAAAAAAAAAAAGCTCGAACTGTAAAACGGGGATGAATTCATATAAACAACGAAAATTATAACCTGTTCAGCTATGAGAATCTTTAGAATCGAGCGAAACACCAGCAGATGCTAAGCTTACAATGTCATCCATGTCCTGATATCTAGCAGCCTGCCAAACACTAAAAGGTCATCTTCAACTACAATTTATTTCATGAAACCAGGATATAAATTCCAATAAACTTCTCGTTGTATAAAACACAATACATCATATAAGTTGAGTTCTTTCAATCAATACAAGAGGGTATTTTCAAAAAGTGGATTAACTTCTGGAAAATAGTAAAATCCACCAGCTTTCCTGCATTGATCTACCTCTCACCCTACAACACTAATGTTACTCTGGTTACAACTTTTATAAGCCAGATAGTCACAATGTGCACTACAAAAAATATAAACCAAAACTGCTTCAGTGGCTTATTTATCACCACTGTAACTCAGATTTGAAGCTCACACTGCAAGCCAGCATAGATGGTCACAAAAGCTTCCAAAATCACATCTACCCTAGCTTTGAATAAATCAGTGACTAAATTAATATCCTTAAAGCAGACTTGATGGCAAGTAGTTCTTCTTCCCCAACTCTCTTCCAGATCCCGTCTATCATGAGATGGCCACTGAAATCTTCTATGCATGAAACATGCTCACTGCTGATATACAGCCATCCTCTGTTTCCCTCAACTTCTTAACACATTGGTTGTCTAGTAGGTGCAAATCAGAACTAGCTTCTCTCTTGCCACTACACTGGTTCAATTCCCAGTTCTCTTTTCTTTCTAGTAATTGAGAAACCTTTTCTGGGACAGTATTTAAGTCTAGAACAGGAAGGCAACCAGAAGACCCAACAGCTCGAGGCAACATTCCAATTGGACACGGGTTCCATGATTTTGCCAGAACCCATCTGTTAGTATTTTCGGCATCAGCATCTGTTCTCTTCACTACTTTTTTCTTTATTTTGCAACGTTTAATCATCTCCAGCTTCTTTGCTGCTTCACTCATAGATTCGTCTTGCTTCTTAAATACATTATTTGAATGTTTAAGAGAATCACCTTCTTCAGTAACATCCGAATTTGATGAAACTAATGAAGAGAGTTTCTTCAGTTTTCCCAATAGGTAGTTGTCCCCTGTCAGTTGAGCAAGATGGACGGCAGAATCCATGAGCTGGTTATTAGCAGAGGCTGATAGAACAAGACATTTACGCAGGAGTTCCATCAGAATTGCTTTCGATATTGTTTTTTCTCCTGAAGAAACTTTGATCTCAGCTACAGAATCTTTTTCAACATGAGGCTTTAATCCTTCAAAATTTTCGACAAGCCACTTAAACAGAGAAGAGAGGTGTTCAACTTGGAGTGTTTCTGCCCTATGGTCTGATGATGTGCGAACCCAACCTAAACAAATTCACGAAAGCAAGAGGGAGAACTCAATATTGATTTTTATTTGGCCTAATTCAGCAACTTTTACTTTAGAGCTTCGTAACCTAAAAACTTTAGTTGCAACCAAATAAAATATAGGAATTGAAATATGCAATATGGACAGGCAAAAAAGAAATATATCTCAAAACTCTCTGAACTCGGAAAATCAGACTGTCTGGTCGTTATTGCAGACTAGACCACTGATCCGTGTCCATTTATAAAAGCAGTCCAGTTAAAACCAAGTAAATGCACAGACTCACCATAAGTTTTACCAGTATATATCTGAATACCAAGCAACTAATACAAAGAAAAATCAGGTCATGTGATTACCCGTCTCATATATCACTGCTTCCTGAGTCTCAATCATATCAAGAACTGCATTCAGAAGAGCCAGAAGTAACTCTGGTTCCTTATTTGAAAATTTTGTTATCACAAGCTTCCACTCATTCAACGAAATATGTAGGCTTGGGCTATTTTGGGTGTTTACTGGAAGCTCCGAGGAATCTGAGGAATTTATACCCTTCAACAAGAACTCCATCAGTACAGAAACAACTTCAGAGGAGAAGGCAGAATACAACCCTACAAGGCTTTTCAATATCTTGGTAAGGTCTTTCTTAGAACCTGAAAAGAAAGTACCTCAATTAACATATAAAACATCCAAGTATTTAAAGACATCATTGAAAAGTTAGCTGACAGATTGAGATCCTCTCTATTTGCCCTTCAAATGGACATCTAGTCATGCTTAAGATGAACGTGAGCATACTATAAAAATAAGCGACTTTCTCTGAAACAGTTTTTGAACATTCTAATCAATAATAAGACATGCAATAACATATCCTTCAAACTTTAGAGCACAGCTTGGGCTCCTCCCCATTTGTCTTTCAAATGTTGACAGCTATTTTTAAAGATGAGTGACTTTCTTTAATATATGCTTTCAAACATTCTAATTATGATTGGCAGTAACAGTGAAAGACCAGGTCCTCTACATTCAGAAGGCAAAGTAAAGGAGCCCAATTCTTAACTCATTAATGTGATATAATAAGTAATCCTTCACAATGCTTGCAATGACTAATTACAAAAAAGGTAGCCAAGAGGGAACATCAAACAAAGTTTTAAATAAGGGCATTACATCATCCACAACTTCAAAAAGAAAGAGGGGAGTAGGTTCAGATACGCAATTCTATTTTTTCAAACTATTAACAGATTCTCAATATGTACTCTGTTCTATCACTAGTACCTATCCAATTCCCTATCATTTATGCCTACAGGAGCAAGTGCCCAGTAAATGCTAATCCAGTGGTTTCACATATCACAGAGTAAAACACTTTCAAATATAAAAACCAAAAAAAGAAATCTGTAGGTGCAGCATTACTTCAAAGAATTTTTTTTTTTTAAAAGAGACAATATCATTCCAAAAAAGAACAAAACATCAACAGAACACAAGATGGCCAAGGAGGCCACCACACAAACAAAAAAGTAAAAAACTCCACACTACAAAGCTACGGCTTTCCAATCTAGATGGATAAGCTGAAAACTAATCTCCCTAAACTCTGCTGAAACAGACGCCCAAAGTGATGCCCAGACTCGGATACAATCCCAGAGCTGCTCTACCTCGTCCCCAATCACATCCTCAAAGATTCTCCTATTCCTTTTCCCCCAGATTACCCAAAAAACTGCCATCATGGCACAATTTCCCAACACTGAACCCTTTAAAGAAAATATGTTAAATCAAATCTAAAACTTGACATATGAAATATATGTACACGTCTGAATAGAGAGTATACATTGTATGCATGATATATGTAGACAATTAGTTCTTTACAGCAGCTTAGCTGTGTAAATGCCTTTTTCTTAGAACACAACATAATTCTGACTCTCCCATGTGTTTGCGAGATAGTTTGCTGACCGAAATACATACCATGATAATTTCTATTTCCATTCCATTAAAAAAAATAGAATGTTCTCCAAAAGGTAGCTAAAAGGACAAACTCTAAACATGAATTTAAGCATATAGAAAATTATAGCTTCCTAATTCATTCATATGCAGTGATTTTCGATCTGCAGAAAATAACTCCGAATAAACGGTCCTAGATTATTCCTTGACAAAAGAAAGGGTGTCAAATTTCTCATGCCAGATACAAAAGAAATATATCCTAGACATCAAATTTTCAGAAATTTCCAACAAGCATATATTTCATTGTTCGATTATGACACAGTACAATCCCTACGAAATGTGGCTGCAATTCACATGAAAGTTCTGTCATAGATCCAACGGTGTATTGCACACTACATGTAAAATCATTGGAAAGTATTATATCTTATAGATCACAAGATTTTAGGCACTATAATCAACCAAATGTGAAGAAATAATATTTTCATACCACGTTTTTCTTTGACTTTTGAAGAACGCAAGTGAGGAGTGTTCTTAATTCTTAAGCAGAAGGCCAATTCATGGAATTTCAACCTTATCTCAGTTTTGATGCCAGCAGTTTCATTGCCATGAAATGGAATTGCCTTCTTCTGAGGCTCCCAGTAATAGTACTTCAACCAATCAAGGGCCTAAAAACACCAACCATGGATATAGTTTAACTTCCCAAATTTAAATTGAGTCATTGCTTGCAAATATAATTGGTAAATGCATGTTTG